CTGTCATGCACGTCTACGTTCCACATACGGATACGTGAAAATTCTGTCGAGAAAACTGTTAACTTGCGACGAGAAAAGCTAGAAGGCTAAAACTTTGGGGTAATGTTCCCTACTCATGTATGATTAAAACATTTTCAAATTCAACTGCTTTAGACCGCTGAGGACTCACGTACGGTCACGTGAAAATTTCGATGGGAAAACTGCTAACACGGGAACGAAAAAAGCTAGAAAGCCGAAACTTCAGAGAAATGTTCAAAACTCATGTGCGACTAGAAGATTTCAGATTCAGCTCTTCTTGTAGGGTCTTTTTCGAGCACCAGCAACCTTCCATTTGTCGGGTCACTGAAGCCGACATTTACAACTGACGTGCCACGTAGCTGCACAGTTAACTTCTTAAACTTCGAGGACTAGCATGTCACAAATTTTGGCTACTGTGATTCCTTGCGATCTTGCTACAATACGCAGTAGTGCAAAAACACATGACTGCACCGGCTTGCCTGTGCGCTCCAGTCTGAGTTTTATCTTCATCTTGTCAAAATTCCTGACAATCTTCCAGTGTGGTGATCAGTATCGTGTTTCTAATGACCCCGATTTTCATTTATTCCTCTACTTTTTTTCTCTTCTAAGAAAAATGTAAACCGTTTTCTATTCGTCGCATCATTTGAACAAAGTATGATTTTATTTCTTATGTGCACCGCACATTTTTTTAAATCAGTTAAAATATTACTGTTTTTAAATGCTGCACGAACTACTTTTCCAAAGATTATAAGCAAAAACTTACTCTCTTTTTTTTCTAGCCGAGTTTCTCAAAACAGCCCATTTCGTAAGGGTTCTTTCAGACTCCTACTTGCTATACTATATAGTAAATTTCAATTACTGCTCAGAACTGGCCTGATCTCTTTTCTCTTAATTACGAGGAAGTTTCAGCTTTAAGTTTACTTCTTCGTAACTAAAAGAAAGTTCCAGTAACTAACAGAAAGTTCCGTCTACTTCCCCTTAAGTTCCAGCTTTCTAGCTTTTCCGGTTCCCGAGCTACCAGCTTACCCGTCAAAACCTTCACGGACCCGCACGTGGGAACCACGTAAGCATATAGTAAATTTCAATTACATATAGAAAATTTCAATTACTGCTCAAAACTGGCCTGATCTCTTTTCTCTCGGTTACGAGGAAGTTTCAGCTTTAAGTTTACTTTTTCGTAACTAAAAGAAAGTTCCAGTAACTAACAAAAAGTTCCGTCTACTTCCCCTTAACGTTCCAGCTTTCTAGCTTTTCCTGTTCCCAAGGTACTAGCTTACCCGCCAAAACTTTCACGGACCCGTACGTGGGAACCACGTGAGCAAGAGCGTCTATTTTGGGAACAGGAGCCCGTAAATGCCTGTAGATTAAGTTCCCGAAGTTTCTAATGCCGAAAACTACGATATAAAAACCTTTAGCTTACCAACAATTGACGAAAGCTCACCCCCTCCAAAAGTTGATCCAACAAGTACTAATAATTACCTTAGGTTTGTAGGGAGTGGCTGACGGTGGGAGTTCACTTTCTTCACATTCTTTTACTTGCCCATCATTCACTGCTTTGATCGCTTCATCAAACTGCTTCGCAACCGTGTAGTATTCGTAAGCAGATTTTTTGTCGCCCGCTACAAATAAAAATATTCATCACGGTAACTGTTCTGAACGAAAGACAAAAGCACATCGAAACATAAACTAACAAAAAGCGAAAATATCTTCGACAACGGAACCTCGGGAATACTTGTGTTTGCGGTATCTCCCATGCTACTGGCCTCGAGGTTCAGCGAAGGCTCAAAATAAGCCGATACACGGTTAGATTAGAGTCAATATTGAAGAAAATGTAAGAAAGACGTG